GCAGAGAACAGACCAAGAGGGATTTTACAGCTAACTGGCTGGCTGGGTGTCCATCAAAGGGAGCTAGTCCCCCTCCCACCCCCCACTTTATGCATCACAGAGGTACTGATACATCTGTAATGGCTTGAGAAGTATCCAGCAAACAGGAGACAAAACTGTGAATCATCAGCAAGTTGCTGGCAAAGCAGCCCAGGGTCTTTCAACCTCTCTAAAATTATCTGCAGATCACCACATGTGAGGCTTCTTGAGTGATCAGTAGTAGCTGTTCATCGTAACTCCTATAAGTCCTATTTGAAAGGATAAACAGGAACCACTATGACATTTCTCTGCTCACTCCAGTTAAGTCTTGGGTACAGGGGAGCAGCACCAGGGTAGATAAAAATCAATGATTTTAAAAAAAAATTTAAAAAACGGATTTTTTAATTTAAATAGGTTTTTTTCTCAAAAAGCATTTTATAAAAAAAACTGATCTAGTTTTAATTAAGATACATTATAGCTCAAAGATATCTCATCAAGGAATAGGGATTATAAATTCTAATTCTATATTATGAGACAATATATTCATGTAATGTTTAAGAAAAGTTTTGTAAATGAGTTCCAGTAGTTCATGGATTAGTGACCCAACCTTATGGGGTTCCAGGGGCTTCTGTATAAATTACTTAGGTTAATCTTTCTATCTACCCAATGGGACTCAGGGCTAAGTCTAGAAGATACCATCAGAGATGCTTAGTTTTGCAGTCCCCAAACTGTGGATTTCTGTCTCCAAAGATAACATGCTTGTTAACAGCAAAAATGTTTTTAAATAAATAAATAGATAGATAGATAATGGATAGAGGTGAAATAACAGACCTCAAAACTATTGTCCCTCTGCAAATGTGTGTTCACAGAGTCAATCCCTTACCTCTCTCTAGAAGTGCAAAGTTTCATCGTTGGGGACGGAATAGATCTGGACAAGAAGAAATCTGGAGATAGATGTGAGAAGGGAGGGACAGGCAGTAGAAACAAAAGTGAAACTGTTTCAGCAGCATATTCCAGAAGTCTTGAGGTCTTTCTGAGTGTAGCCTTCATTGATTTGAGATCTACCATACCATTATCTCACTAGAAGGGAAAACCTATAATGGCAGAAGCCCTAAAAGAGACCCAGTTTGGTCTCAACTATCTCAGAGTTGTGAAAAATATGTATTAAGGTTATAACAACCAACAAGAATACACTTTTGTGTAGAAATCCATGATTAAATTGAATCTTCGTGACTAGTTATTTAAATCATGATTTAAATCAAATCCACCCTGAGCAGCACTATGGATCAACTTTGTAAAAGGCTGGAGACAGCAAGTACTCTAAACCGACATCCATAGCCATAGAGAAGCTACCCACTCATGTCACTAGAGAACAATTGGTGCCATGTTCTCATCTGAAAAATGACTGTGCAAAGTTTCAGGATAACAAATGCCAAGAGTTGCTGGAGTTTGATTGTCACTACCTTGTAATGGTGTTAAAGGAAAGAGGAGGTTGAAGACAGAGCAGTAGTTGAAGAGACTGTCTACATGAAGTGTTTATTTCTCAGGAACTATATGGACTATCACATTCTTCAGGAGGTTCACCTTCTCTGAAAGAGGCACTGATAACTCCCACCACTAACAGGCCAGTTGCTTTTCACTGGCTTTCAACAACCATGAGAGAAATTAATCCTTCACAAACAGTGGCCTGGAATTCAGTTTTGTGTGTGCAATAAGGCTGAATTTAGACAAAGATGGTGGAACAGTTATTATTCTCAGCTCTGGTTTGGAGTCCTTTCTCCAACCCATATTTGGGTAATGTTTTCTCTGAAGTAGGTTAACAGCTCTTAGCAGTGGTTGACACTTGAGACTGATATTTGGTTTGATATGGGTTGATGGTTCTCTACTCAGACCAGTTCTGACTGACATGATTTCACAGACCGTTATCCACGCACAACAGTTTATTACATCAATGGAGAGGGACAACTGCAAAATGAGAAGAGTGAGCAATCCTTGGGATTCAAATCCAACACAAGATATAACGGTTTAGATCTTAATGTCAGATGGGTGAGGATTAGCAGCAAGCAAATGAAAGCCCTGAGAGATTGCATTTCAAGATGCTAAAACAAAACAGACAACTAGAAGCCCAAATCTCATCTACAACAGGATTAAAAGCTAAGATATGTAGGTAGTTGTATGTTTAAAATATGAACAAACAAATACTGGCTCTTGCAGGAGTAATACGCGGTCCCTTACCCCATGTGGCCTCATATTTTGGATATTTCAAAGCCAACATTACACATGGCTACAGTTTTAACCAGAAGAGGTATTAGGACTCTTAGCCCTAATTAAAACAGCATAGGATGTCAAGCAATTAAAAAAATTAATCACAATTAATCATGTGATTAATCACACTGTTAAACAATAATAGAATACCATTTATTTAAATATTTTGGATGTTTTCTACAATTTCAAATATAATGATTTCAATTACAACACAGAATACAAAGTGTACATCATCATCCAAGACTATTATAACATGAAATATATGGCAGAATGTGGGTAAAACAGAACCGGAGACATACAATTCTCCCCAAAGGAGTTCAGTCACAAATTTAATTAACACATTATTTTTTTAAATGAGCGTTATCAGCATGGAAGCATGTCCTCTGGAATTGTGGCTGAAGCCTGAAGGGGCGTACGAATGTTTAACGTATCTGGAACGTAAATATCTTGCAATGTCAGCTACAAAAGTCCCATGTAAACACCTGTTCTCACTTTCTGGTGACATTGTAAATAAGAAGCAGGCAGCATTATCTCCCGTAAATGTAAACGAACTTGTTTGTCTTAGCGATTGGTAGAACAAGTAGTAGGACTGAGTGAACTTGTAGGCTCTAAAATTTTACAGTTTTTTTTTTGAGTGCAGTTATGTAACAAAAAAAAAATCTACATTTGTAAACTGCACTTTCATGATAAAGAGATTGCACTACAGTACTTGCATGAGACGAACTGAAAAATACTATTTCTTTATCATTTTTACAGTGCAAATATTTGTAATAAAAATAATATAAAGTGAGCAATGTACACTTTGTATTCTGTGTTGTAATTGAAATATATTTGAAAATGTAGTAAAACATCCAAAAATATTTAATAACTTAAATTGGTATTCTATTGTTTAACAGTGTGATTAAAACTGCGATTAATCTCGATTAATTTTTTTGAATTAATCACATGAGTTAACTGCGATTCATCGACAGCCCTAGTTTTAATGCTATACACAATTAAGTAGTTACAATGCTCCACCCCAGAGCTGACTGACATAATTCCTGTCTATGTATCAGTTTGCTAAGCAAAAATAAATTTCCTTTAATTCAATCCCCGATTAATCGAAGCCTCGTTATAATTTGATCGAAATACCAGCAACCCAATCATTAATATAAGAAGTTCCAATTGCTTTCAGCAGGAATGACGGGACAGTTCCTTCGGTGACTAAAGCAGGCTGCTATTTAAATCGGGGAGGAAAGAGGCTCGAAGTCTGCAGGAGACCCAAGATGCTACGGCAAAGCCAGGTGACAAGTGGTGCCCGCGGGCGAGGGGTGTTATTTGTAATGACGGAGTGAATCCCGTCACTTGCGATGGGAACCAGGACACGCACCGGGGGGATCGCACCGGAGAGGATCAGCAGCTAGACCCAGTCACAGGGACGAGGGTCGAGCCATGTTTAACTAGAATAAAACAGTACCAGCGAAGGCAGCGCCCAGAGGCCCGCCAGGCCCCAGGCAGACCCCGCCAGTGGCAGCCCCTGCCCCGCAACGCGCAGCCCAGGCGGCAGCGGGCGGGCCGGCGGGAGCGAAGGCGGAGCACAGGGCGGCTCTGGAGCTCCGGGGGGCCGAGTCAGCTCCCGCGGGGACACGCCCGCGCTGTGCTCCCCTCTCCCGCCAGGCCCGGCCCCTGGGGGACCAGCTCCGGGAGCGAGCTCCAGCCCCCCTCACGACCGGGACCAGGCGCCTCCCTCCCGTCCCGTCCCGTCCCGTGCGGAGCCGGGCGCGGCCCGGGGAGCGGGGGTGGCCGAGGGTCCCCGCCCGCCCGCCCGCCGCGCCCCGCCCCGCCCCGTACCTTGGCCTTGCCCCTGCCGGGCTTGGGGCGCTCCCTGCGCGGGGGTCTCACGGCCTCCGCCATCCCCGGCGGCCGCCTCGCTCCCGCAGCTCACACCGGAAGCGCCGGGCAGGGGCGAAATCACATGACCGGCCTCTCCACCCCGGGCCCAGCCCATCAGCGCCGCGGTGGCTATGGAACGCGAGGAGGGACATTTTCGTTCTCCAGGACGGAACGCGGCTCGGCCGCGGCGCCCCCTAGTGCCGCACAAGGCAGCGGCAGGGCGCAAAGCCAGACCGCTGAGAGCTAGCTCAGCCGGCGCGGCTAGCCCCCCCTGCCAGGGCCAGCCCCCCCTGCCGGGGCCCACCTCTGGCCCCTTGGGCACCCAGTGCCATTGCCCTCCCCACACCTGCCAGGGCCAGCTGCCCAGCCAGCCCCACCCTCTCTAGGGCCCAGCCACACCTCTGCCATCCCCACCCATCTCAGCCACCCCCCACCACTGATACCCACCCTGCCTACCCCTGCCCGTCCCATCCCCGCTGCTACGGCCACCCCCGTGATATCCCATTCCCAGCCCCTGCTCTGGAGCTCCCCAACGTGACATCCACCCCATCACTTCCACCCACCACCGCACCTGTCCGTGTCATCCCCGTCAGCCCCTCAGCCACCCCAGCGCTTCTCGTGGATACCCGCCAGCCACCTCACACACCGCCAACACCGATAGCCTGGTCACGCCACCGTCAACACATGCCAGAAGCAGTGCCAGGCATATTACCCCGAACACTAACCCAGGCAACTCCAAATACACCCTGCCCTGCAACAGCACACACGGCCAAGCTGACAGGGGGTTCCACTGGACCAAAGGAGCTTTGATCACCTTGATCAGAGATGAACAACTTCACACAGACCTGTATCATGACCATTTTATTAACTATTCCGAAAAATGATAGCAGGGAACTGCTAGATCTTAATTTACATGACAAACAAATCATTACAAGTTTACAAAAACAATCCAATAAAATGCACAGTTCATGACGAAGCAGCCCATTTGTTTTCATTTCATTGTTTTCATCCATAGCACTGCACATCTTACTCAGCACAGACAAAACTCATCACACAGATAATTTACCAGTCAAAACTCATTCGTTTTCTATTAACAAAAATCAGTTCTGGACAAGTATTTTGTAAGGCTCTCTGCAAACCAACAGTTCTGCTGTGTTTTACAAGCAACGAGACAGTATGTCGTTGTGTTGTCACTGGACGGCACATTTCCCCTCTCTCACAACCCCAGCATTCCAACAGCGTTGGATCTAGCCACACTGACCTACCACATGGTGTTCAGACACAGATTAAACTGTGCATGCATGGTTGCTAAAATGTGCAGGAAGGTCTATGGACACAAGGTTAAAATCCTGGTTAGGAAGCCCATTACAGATAGGCGAACATAAGCAAAAATAACTTCCACTAACTTACTTCAAGCTTTTTTTCCCTCGCCTTTACTGCAGTGGTGAGTGATATCTTTGTGACACATTAACTGATGTCCTCTTCTGTACCACAACAGTTTAGCTATCTTAAAATTCTTATTGCCACTAACTAATGTTCCCTCCATCTAAGTCACACTACAGATCACTTACCTGCCCTCAGGGCTCTGTTGTATTGGCTACAACATTGGCAAGTCTAGTGGTGTCAATAACAGTTCACACAATGAGTAACAAAGATGCAATCGCAATTTCCAGTGCAGATAAGAAAGAGTTTTGCACTTAATTTCCAAATTAGCTCAAATTCTCTTTTCATTCAGTTAACAGCTTTAACATAGAATGCAGCAATCTCTGCGCTGCAAGTGCACAGAGAAATACAGCAGGATATTCACAGGAGGTTTAATGTGTAGAAAAGTTACGGTTTCCAAAAGCAGCTAGCAAATCTCATGCTTTGGAAACAAACATTCAATGAGAGTTTTTTCTGGTGACTCCCATCTTTTCATATGCTGTGTATTTATACCTCCCTACTATATTTTCTACTCCATGCATCTGATGAAATGGGGTTTAGCCCACGAAAGCTTATGCCCAAATAAATTTGTTATTCTCTAAGGTCCCACAAGGACTCGTCATTGTTTTTTCTGGTGATGTATCACTTGTAACTCTGCAGCTACAGGGATGGGGGGGTGTTGGTTGATGGAGTTCTGCGGCTCCAGATTGAAAGCTCCCTTGTACCACTTGCTTGTGAAGTTTCACTTTAGCTCAGTTGTGCTAAACTCTTAATAAATTCAGGTATATTCCAAATTTACCTCAACTCTTACATACTATTGCTCTAATCACAATAATAAAAAGCTTTTACAATAGCCACTGACCACACTTGTCATTTTTATCATTAACATTTTACAGTTTGAAACAATCTGCCTTTTCAAATTCCTTTAGAAACTGAAAATGTCAGGCTAGAAATGAAAGTATTTCCACACGCCTACCACCATCCTAATTCACGTCCTGAAAAACAACTCAATATTGCGTTGCTTGTGGTTTCAAACCTTCCTCTTTTATCTAGGGAGTACTGACCTATTGATTTTGAAGTGCTTTTAGACACTCTCTAGGACACAACTCGGAGAAGAACCTTGATTTTTGGTGGCAGCTTGCTTTCTTTCTCTTTAAGAGTGGCTCGGCAGAATACTCGTACTTTTTGCTTTCACTTTCAGGACTGGCTTCTTTAAATCAGAGGGAAAATACAGTGAAGCAATCCACATTTCAAATGTTCATGGCATTGCCCTGTGATTAACTACACTCTGAACTAAAAAGATCCTTTCGAAAAGCACTTATAAATTGGGGTCCTGGTGTATTTATTTCAGTCAACTAAATAAGGAAATAATCGCAGTCCCTACTCTCAGGACTGAGATAGGATCCTCACTCTTGGACAACTGATATGGGGCTGCATTTTAACCCCTCCATTTTTCAAGTGAGGCATGTGGGGTTAGCTGCATGACTTCCATTACAATTATTGCGAGTCATGTGCCTAAACCGCAGTGCACCACTTTGAAAGTTGTTGAGTAGCAGTTTTTGTAGGCAAGAAACAAAATAAGACCATCTACTGCCCTGAGTCAGCCTGGAAATCCCAACAGAGAAAAGGAGCTTCTTGTCCAATATGCTCATGAGTACTAGTTCTTATACTATGGTCCTGACCTTACTATACTGCCATCCCAGTAATCTCTAATGAAAGGCCCTAGCTGTAGATCTAGGGTCAATTCTCTTTCTACAGCTCTCAGATGGAAGTAACATTTGGTCACTACTCAAAAAGGCTCTGTACCAATGCTAACTCTCTCACACACTGAGGCTGTGTGGCCTCGTGGAGAGAATGCAGGACTGGGACTCAGGAGACCTAGATTCTAGTCCTGTCTCTACCACTGACTTGCTTGGTGACAGATCAAGTTGCTATGCCTGTTTCCCCACCTGTCAAATGGGAATAATTATACTGATCTCCTTTCAGAGTAACAGCCGTGTTAGTCTGTATTCGCAAAAAGAAAAGGAGTACTTGTGGCACCTTAGAGACTAACCAATTTATTTATCTCCTTTGTTAAGCACTTTGAGAACAAATGATGAAAAAGCACCATATAAGGGCCAGGTGGTATCACCAGGTGGTATCAACTGTTCTGGTGTCCACAAAACAATGAAGGATTTTCTCATCTGCACTTTACCTGTTTGCTCTTTTAATGCTCTGTGGTCTGGATTTACAAATGAAATCCAGGCTTGATCAGCTTCTGGCATCTTTTAAATAAGGGGTTCTCATCTTGGGAGTTGCAACTACTAGAACAGGGATAGGGACTGTCACAAACAAGTGTTGGGATCACAGGGATCACAATCACCCCATCTTTCCCATGTTTCTAAATGGGTCGGGATTTCAGCTAGATGGGAAGGGGGCCTAGGATGGAAAAGAGAGTGAGAACCACTGTTTAAATTCAACGAGTGTTACATCAGCATTTTCAACCACATTAAAGTCAGGGCTTCCCTTGCATTTACAGGAACCCGTGGGATCAGTTTCCCACCTCCACTCCCCTCCAAACTGAGGCAAGAGAAAAACAGAGTCTGCCCAATGGGCCATTATATATGGAGATCCAGTCAATGAAGTTCCATACATCCGTAGGTGTCTTGCACTGGAATAGACACAGTATATGTGCTAGAGGCTACACACTCCAGAACGGGAGGAAAAGCACAAGTCCATACCCCAGCAAGCTCAAGCTGAGCATTGAGGTGCATTGGCAGGATGCTGTTGGAGACCCAGGACTGGACTAGCATAGTGGTCCCCAACGCGGTGCCCATGGGAACCAGCCGCCGAAATGCCGCCCAGAAGCGACAACGCCAAGAAGCGCCGCTGCTTCTCGGTGGCATTTCGGCGGCTGGTCGTCCGGCGCCCGCCACACTCTTCTGGGAACACGAATATGCTATTGCAACAGAAAGGTTGGGGACCACGTTGCGCTGCATTAGCAAGTTTGCATCAAAGGCCCAGCAGAAGCGGAATACAGGCCAGCACTTACATGCTACAAGGACCAGCGTTCAATTAATTCTTCAGATCGAGAGTGTTGGGAAGCATCGACAGAACTCTTTGGGGGGAGAGATTTGAAAGAGTAGTGGGCTGCAGTGTAGGACTGAGATCCAAAGGGAGGGCTGGGAGTGGCAGAGCAGAGAGAGGTTAGATCAGGGAAAAGGTGCCGTAGCTGAGCTCTAATCTTCAACGCCTCCTGCCTGCACGCTGTACTTGTGGCTACAACCAGTCTGTCCAGGCCTTTGCATGTGGGAGGAGCAGTCACCCCCCACACTGAAGTCTATTTTAGAGCATATATAATTACATGTTCAGTATGCAAGCCACAAATCTAAAATATATATCTATATCTATATTGAGAGAGATTAAAAATAATCTACAATATAAAATTATATTGGGATATTTAAGGGTCTTTTTTTATAAGACAACATATTCCTCGAATTGTGCATTTTGTACAGGTCATTCAAATGTAGCAGGGAAGAATTCAAATCTCACTTATCACATTGGGGTCTTTCCCACACAAGGGAACAAAGCGACATTCCCTAGGTTTGTACAAATCACGCATAGCTCAGGCACAATTTGATGCAGAATCATCCCTGTTGCTCTAGAGCAAGACATTAAAACCTGTACACCCTCGCACTGAGAGCTACACACAAATGGGCAGACTTCATCAGTGTCTGTGCACCTGACAGGTAACAGCCAATGGAGATGGACATAAAAGCTGGGGAAGTTCTGGTTCGGAAATGAGTTTTGCAGCTCTAGGCCAACAACAGTAACCAAGTTAGTTTGTGCTTTATTAGAAACAAAAGAGCCAGACCCCACAACACTATAACAAATGGGAATTCTGCCATTGACTTCAATGGGAGCAGGATTAGACCCCCAAGAAATGGGCGGGGGAGAGGAAGGTTTGCTAAATGGAGACAGGAAAAGCCAATAAGAAAATATTAAGGAGTCCGGTGGCACCTTAAAGACTAACAGATTTATTTATTTGAGCATAAGCTTTCGTGGGTAAAAACCTCACTTCTTCAGATGCATGGGGCGAAAGAAAATATTATTTCTTTTATTTTCAAGCGTATTGGACAGTGGAACGCAAAAGATAGAAGAAGCAGCTGACAACGTCCCTGAATTGTTGCCTCCAATGGCCAAAACCTCACGAGGTTCTGACTCTGGGTCCTGGTCAAAAAATATACCCAAGAGTCCAGCTGCTCACACAGATTAACCTGATTGGAGTTTGCAGAATCTGTCGAGAGTAGGCTAAGTGGCGGGTAGCTGAATGGTGGCAAGCCCTGCCTTGCGGATGTACCTCTCCAGACAGTCAGCTCATGTCCTCCAGTTATTCAAGAAGAATGGAGGGGTCACCAGCCTGGACCTGCAAGGATGGCTCTGTATTGTACTGCTATGCCACAGCAGAACCAGGGAAGGGAGGGAGGTAACTACTGAAGGGCCATAACTTGTTCACCTTCCTCTCGTCAGAACCCATATTGAAGTCAACGGACCATTCGTGTAATCCATAGAGGCTCCTGAAGCATGCTAGATAGAGACAGGATATAAATCAACTTCTCCCAACATCACTTGCGTAGCCTGGAGCAAATGCACAGTACAGCCATATAAATACCCCCTCGAGTTCTAACTCTCAGCATTGCCATGAGTAAGCAGTCTAATGAGCACTCCACAATTAGGGCTAGGCTATGATCTTAATCACCCTGGTGAAAATCCAGCATAACAGACCAAACCCATACTTTGACCTGTGTGCTATGCGCACGCCCCAGCATGCCCAACGCACTGCACATGATTCCCATTGGCAGCACTGCAGTGGCACATGTGAATTCTCAGTCGTCATGGTGAGAAGAAATTCCTTTTTTTAAAATCCTTTAGAGTCTTCCACATGGATGTTGAGGTTTGCACATCACAAAGAACTCTCACCAATACCAGAACACAAGTGTCTCTTATTGTTAGGAGAGATTCCATTGGATCAGCGAATATTATTCAAAGATTCAATGTCCTCCTTGCTGACCTTGAAAATAGGACATCAGTCCATGTAGTTTGTCGCCATGAAGGAAGAGGGACCTTGTTGGATCTTGTGTGGATCCTCAGAACATACTAAATAATTACCCTAGAGTTTCAAAATATTTTTTAAAAGAAGAAACAGTTCCATGCTGTATCACTGTGCCCGATGCTGGAATTGCAACTGAATACACGGTCTCTGATGGGTGGATCAGACGACTCATTTCTTGCACTCAGTGGCACTACTGGGCAAGCAGCTTTGAGACCCTGGAGAAGAGGATGGAATTGTAAGAGTCAATATTTCAGTGAAAGAAACGTAGACAGAATCAAATGTAATGATGGGAGGAAAAGTAGCCAGCTAGATCATCCAGTCCCCCTCCCAACCTATGCAGGACTGTTCCACCACAGCACTGTGCTTTTAAAATATCAAATATGGGACCTCCAATTCTTCCCATGGGAGACTATTCCACAACCTATGCAATCTCACCTTTGGGAAGTTTTCCCAGATTTTCAGCCTATAGTTCTCTTTCCTAACCGTCTCTCCTAAATATATAACTGTTTCTTGCGCTTTCTCTGTGCCGCGTGTCAGTCCGCACTAGTGTGACATGCACTAACTGGGCCGTGTGGACCTTGCTGACACGCACTAAAAGTTCCCTAGTGAGCACTGACATAGTACTGTTTGAAACCAGACTACATTAACACGCACTAGGGACCTCGGAGTGCACACTAGCAGGGTCTCCACAGGGCAGTTAGTGTGCAGCATGCCGGTGAGGACTAGACCCTACACCTCACTGGTGTGACTAACGCAGGCCCCAAGTAATTCCTTTTCAGAATGAAAATACTTACGGCTCATGCTAGTGATGTATTAAACTGTAACCATCAATCGTAGCATAATCAGGGTCACCTGTAATATAGAGATCACAATAGTAACACGTAGCTGTTACATAGCACTTTTCATCCATAAAGCTCAGAGCACTTTACAAAAGAGGTGGATAACATTATCCCCATTTTTACAGATGGGGAAATAGAAGCAGACAGAGATAAAGTGCTTGATCTAGGTCACCCAATAAGTAAGTGGCAGAGCCAAGAACAGAACCCAGGTCTTCTAAGTCCAAGTCCACTATCTACTGGGCCACACTGCAAATAATAAAAATCAATGCTTTCCAAGTAGAGAAGACCCCAGGCTGCAGCCTTCAGGTCCAGGTCTTGCCTTTCTCAAAGTTCAGGACTGTCCATAACCAGGACTTTGGTTTGAACCTCTTGCTCGGTGAACTCCTGGCCCCATTGAAATCAGTGACAAAATTCCAATTGACTTCAATGGAGCCATGATGTCACCCTCTATTTCTAACAGAAGCTTACAGGTGCCAAGAACAACATATCAATGGCTAGAATGATCAGGGGAATATGAGAATCAGGCAAGACCACCAATATTTACATGGCAGTGGAATTACAGACAGAACCTGCAACACCTGCAAAATTGAAATACAAAAGAAGATTGCACATAAAAATGCTTAAAAATGTGTGATTTCTAGAATGACTTGGTGTAACTCACCGGGCCCACTTGCAGGGATTGGTAACGGCCCCCTCCTGCACAAAAACAAATAAGACAACACTTGTCTCCTTGTTGCTAAATGATCTGATTGTTTCATATTATGAAACAAATGTGCCATCATTTAGGCAGTTCAGTATTCCAACGCAAGCCATCAGGTAGTCATTATTGTGACGGACTCTTATTGCATAGCAGCCATGGACATTAGCCTTCAGTGATGACAAGGGTGCTCTCAAATCCTTCTCTCCCCACAGAAGACCCATCCCGCATCCGTAGTCCAACTCCCCTCTTTGGTCAGCAGATTCCCTTGCTCTCCCAGTGCATCCGATTTAGATTCTCTCCTCTGCCCACGTGGGCATGTGTTCTTAGATGATCCAGCTCTCCGCAGACAAAAATGGGGAGAAGGGAGCCATGCAAGGAATGAAGGAAGGTTTCCAGCAGCAGGGATGGGCTAGGGAGCAAAGGAGGTGGCAAACCAGTGCCCAAGATCTCCGAGGGTTTCCTGGTACAGAGGGGGACTCAATCCAGGCAAAATTCCCAACCTGCCCTGCCTCCCTGCTGACCACATACCCCAACCCCCACCAACTTTTATGGGACCCTGAAACAGCCTAAGAGCCAAACAGTTCCGAAAGACTTAAAGAAGCAAAACTCATTTTTAACCTATAGGTTCCCAATAGCCAGGCCATTCCTTTTATTATTTGGTTTGTGTTGGGTTTGTTTATTCTTACCTCCCTATCCCAGGTGCTGGGGCCTGATTTCTTGCTGAAGTTGCATTTCTTTGTGTGCTATAGTAATTTTCATAGACCACAGGAGCTGGGGGCATGGAAATACAAGTCAGCTGTAAAAAATGTTTTTGTGAGTGGTTGGCATGCAATGTACAGCATCACATCTGCACAACAGGAGATCCTATTTCTTCTTCAGCTCCATCCCTTCCACGCTGAAAAAACTGTATTTTTAGAAACCAAAGTCTACAGAAATGAGGTTTGAGTTCTCTTCAGGGTCTGGTGGCAATTGCCTGCTATCCTGGTGCAAGGATGCCACTCTAGAAACAGGCTTCATTTTGAGACCAACACAGAAGCAGAACCATCAAGCATGCTTGCTTTCTGCACCAAGCTTTGTTTAATAAAACCCAGACCCTTGCTAGAGCCGAGAAGCTGTATGGAATGCTGATGGCCACGCTGCTTAGAAAGCATACATCAAGCAGTTACCTGGGGGCACATTTCCTGTTTTACGGAAATTTACAAAAAATTCGATATCCTTCTCGATGCTGCACATTTCTAGACTCCTACGGGTTTCTTCGTACCTCTATAAAAAGAACAAACAAAAAAAAAGGTGTTTTCTTTTAAAAGCATAAAGTGCAGAAACAAAAATTCATTCGTCTTTCTTGAAGGAGAAAGGATACAATTTGCATCAGCAAAATAAGTGTCAATAGTACAAGAGGCAAGGGGTGCAAGTCTTGGCCGCAATAAAAGCAACGGGAGCTCTTGCCATTGACTTCATTGGAGCCAGGGTTTCAAATCCTGTTCCACACTATTGACGGGGTGTTCGTTATTGCTATCTGCTGGATTACCCATGAGAATATCAAGAAAGCAAAAGCTGCGCGCAGACCACCCTACCCGAGCTAGCTTGAATAGAGCAAGCACAGATAACAATAGCAGTGAAGACAGTGCAATGCGAGTGAGGAAACTTCCCTTCTGCTCGGCAAATAAAAGGGTTGGAGGGCCTTGGTTTTTTCAGGCCTACCTCATCACTCTGGACGCACTCCTGAGAGAGCTGATTAAGGTGCAGCCACAGCGCATTGCGGAAGTAGTTTATCCGTTCAGACTCCTGGGTCTCAAAGAACTGAAGAGATACAGGGAGGCAAGTCAGGGTATGTTAACAGAATAACTAACAGCCACGGTCCCAGCCAGCTGGGATTAATCATGGAAGTTAGAGAAGGAGAAGACATACAACACCTAGGTGACCTCCCTGCCAATACAGGTTTGAGCCATATTGGACCCATGCTAGTGCTTTGCTTGTCCTGTTTTCAGATGTTCTAAGCAATGACCTGACCTTGGGTCTAACTTCACCACTTCTTGGCATTTTGGCCTTAATCTCCCCCTCTCTGGGGGAGTCTTTCCTACCTTCGTACGGGGCTAGACTTGGTCTAATGAGTCTTTTCCATCTCTAACTGCTACCATCCTTTATTCTTTATGAGAAAAATAGATTAACAGCCAGCAACAATGAACTGATGCCTTTTTATTGTGTATTTTACACCACTACATGAGATTATAAACAGAAGCCTGCATCAAGGCAGGAGCCACCAGGTCCAGCTGGTCCCGGCATTCTGCTCCATCAGGGTTTGCACGTTTTCTGAAAGGACCCCTTTCCTTCAAAATGGGTCTTCAACTTTCCCTCCAGCCCCATCTCATCCACACACACCCCACCTTAAGTGAGATCATCCTGCCTGCCACATCACATGGCCAAAACTTAAAAGGGAAGCTCAGTCAGGTTATTGGGTCCTGCTGCACCATGGCGGGAGGACTGACCCCAGAAGCTGACACCTGCGGACGGTGGGGAGGCAAGCCAGCTAGCCAATGCACTGTTTGGTCACCGCTTGATTTAGTGATCCGAGGCCACTCCTCTCATCCTTACACCCAGACCCACACCAACATTTGGATCGTTCCGATAGGATGGAACTGTCTGGATGCTCCTCAGAGCCCAAACCTTCTGAAGTCTGCCCTTCAATATGTATTCATTCCATCAGGAAGAGCCCTTTTCACATTTCCACTGAGAACAAGTAAACTCTCACCTAGAGCACACATTTGATCAGCAGGACCTTTTGTAATGGACCTGCATCAGAACTTCCATACGTGGCAGGCCTAATCAACACAACCTGACTGATTTGAGGAAGTGAATCTTTGTTTCCCACCCCTCACTACCAGCGGACGGGTTTTCGTTACACAGAGCCATTGCAAGGTTTGGATGGGCAAAGCACACACAGGCAGGTCATTTCATTTTAAGAAACCAAAGCAAAATGGAAGAACGAGCAGCAATATTTTCGGAAGGAGCCAGCGCTGGGGCATGGGCTGAGCTGAACTTATGACAGTGCCACCCTTTTGGAGCCCTTTTTAATCCAGAGATGTCAGAGCACTTTACAAAGGGCATGAGTATCATCCCTATTTTACAGATGGGATCATCCCTATTTTACAGATGGGAAACTGAGGCACAGAGCAATGGCATGACGTGCCCGAGGTTACCCAGCAGGCCAGTGGCAGAGAAGGGAACAGAACCCAGCTGCTCTGTCTGGAACAGCAGTGTCACCAATAGCAAATGCAAAATACTGATGCTTAAGCAACGTGACAGGCTCATAAGTGTGTCGGAAACCTCAAGATTTGCCCAAGATGATGCACGGAGTTCTTGGCTGAATTGGGGGTAGAACTTAGATGCGAGTCTCGGTCTGGTGCCATCCATCTCTTTCTCATCGTAAATGCATGTGGTGCTTTACAGGCAAAGGGCCTGATTCTCCTCTCATTGACACATGTGTCATGCTGGTGTAGGAGCTACTCCTGGTTTTATACCAGTCTAATTGAGAGGAGAAAGAGGCCAAACATCCCTGGCTGAGAGGGTTTGCAGGATAAGGTAAGATATGACCTGACAAGGAGTGCCATCAAGCCTCAGGGAAAGTACAAAGGTTACAACAATAATACCATGCAGCTCATTTCTTTGAATAGAATAGGGAAAGAGTTTATGGGCTGCTCCGAGAAATAAAAGTGGCAAAGAGTCCTGTCATGCATCCGATGAAGTGAGCTGTAGCTCACGAAAGCTTATGCTCAAATAAATTGGTTAGTCTCTAAGGTGCCACAAGTACTCCTTTTCTTTTTAAAGAGTCCTGTGGCGCCTTATAGACTAACAGACGTACTGGAGCATGAGCTTTCGACGCAGTGGGTATTCACCCACAAAAGCTTATGCTCCAATACGTCTGTTAGTCTATAAGGTGCCACAGGACTCTTTGCCGCTTTTACAGATCCAGACTAACATGGCTACCCCTCTGAAGCTTGACACCAGAGGAATAAAGTAATAAAGGCAAATCTTAATCTCCCTGAGCCTGTCCATTATTGTATTAAATAATCTAAGATTCCATCCAGTAGATGGCAGCACTTTACATACAAAGACGCCAGCGCACAAAATTGCCACTATTTTGCATGCTGACACTTGAAGGCTTTCCAATATATTTCCCTACTTTTAAATGCCAAATTCCGGGGCTTTGTATCCAGAAACCAAGAGTCAGGGACATGCAAGTTAAATTGGGAAGTGTCTTGAAGTTTAACCACTAAGGAAACAGAAGAGGCCAACTGTGGTCCCTCACTAGCATTGGCAGCGAAGGAAATGAAATCCCAACCTCAAAGACAGAGTGTTGCAGCATTAAAACCCTTCATTATCTCTAGGATGGATGGCAGGCTTTGGTGTGTTACCTCGCAGGCTTTGGTGTGTTCATTCTGCCATTCTTCCCTGATCCTCTCAAGCGAACCAACATTCAGCTGATATAGCCTGTCTGATAGGGAAATCCAACAGCAATTTGGTCACATGTACAACACACAGGTCTGGATGCATGAAAGGCTCAGGTAAACAATTCTAAACACTGTGATCAGAATATTTTGGACTCTGGGTTTAATTTGGGTCTAGAGCACGTGAAATGAGTTTTGAACTCATTTCAAAAGGATCAAATTTTGTAAATTATAACACAGAGACACTTTCACCTAGAAAAGCGAAGCTATTTCAATCAGTTCTAGGTAGCAGCTGCTCTTAATTGTTAAAAGAAAAATAGAATATTTCAATCACATATCATATCATGACATGACAGCAGTTGTAGTGAACATTAAGCACGACTTTCACTGACGTGTCATGAAATAACGCTATCAAAATATTCAAAACGATATTTTGAAATCCCAAAATGAAATAACGAAATTTCAAAACAAAAAATTCCCAAAACTGAAACTTTTGAGAAATTCCATTTGGTGGGAAATTTCAAAAATATCTGTTTTCATTTTGAATCAGAACAAAAAGAAATTCTGAGGTGTTGAAATGTTTTGCAAACCAGGAATTCCAAGTTGCAGCCAGTTCTAGTCCAGACAATGCCGCACAAACAAGAAACTCTTGACATTTTCCAAGACAAGCATATTCCAAAATGGAAATATTTTTATTTCAAAATATTTTTTTCTGCTGAAATATTTGTCTCAGTCGAATACAACTGTTATTCCAAAATTATTCCCAGTATGACAAAAAAGGCATTTTCCATCAAAAAAAGTTTCAACTAAACATTTCCAACCAGCTCTAGCTGGGACATTGTCTCATCACAAGGAGACAATGAGCCATCAAGACATAACATTTGACTCCCTGGGGCAAATTTATCCAGCGTATAACTGTGCAACCCACTGTTTTAGGAAAGGGAGGTCTATGCCAGTCACCCCGAATAGAGCACTTGTGTAATGGGTTCCCCTCCATCCCATCCCCTACCTGCCGCTCCCAGCATGTCCCAGCCCCTCCAAATGTAACAGATACTCCACGTTATCAGCACTCACCAGAATCTTCCAGAACTGACTTGCTCTGAGCCAACTTTACAAACAGCTGAAAAACAGAAAGATAAAGGGGTCATTGTGAGACAGCAGCTCAACCTAAAAACACTGCAGAGAAAGTAAGGTTGGACCTCATTTCTATCCCGCAAATCCATCCTTAACCAGAGGGTGAAGTCAAACCACCAACCCAGATTTTTTTCCCCCCAAGCTCTGTGTCAATGATTCCTCACTAGTGGTTGAGGTCTTCCATGCTGGCTGTCAACTGACAGGCCTCCAGCCAGCTACCAAGTAGCCAGAACCACCTCTGAACTCCTGGCGCTTCCACTACCAGAGCCTCCGGGCAGTGAAAGGAGGCTCTCCTGTGTAAATCCAACAGCAGGGTCAGGGTCCCGGTTTGGCAGGTTTCTTAGAAACTGTAGCCACTATCTTTAGTTTTAAAATTACTATAACATGGTTAAAAAAAGAACTAGATAAATTAGTAGAGGATAGGTCCATCAATGGCTATTAGCCAGGATGGGCAGGGATGGTGTACCTAGCCTCTGTTTGCAAGAGCCTGGGAATGAGTGAAGGGATCACTTGATGATTACCTGTGCTGTTCACTCCCTCTGGGGCACCTGGCATTGGCCACTGTCGGAAGACAGGGCACTGAGCTAGATGGACCATTGGTCTGACCCAATATGGCTGTTTTATGTTCTTAATGGTATTTTTTCCTGGAGGTGATTTAGTTGTTGAACAGTACCTAAAGCAGAACAGGAAAACTGTCTTCCTTTCACCCTCCCTGTGTTACCTTTTCTTGTTGCCTTTGTGTTACAAGATTTGCATTGCGGTGCACGGCCTGTTCCGCTTCATCTTTATCCCTGCATCGCTGCTCGTACAGCCTCTTTGCCTAGGAGAGAGGTAGGTATGTAAGCCAGTTGGAAATGCAACACAACACACACTCAACTGTTGGATCAAATCCTGCATGCACGTTAAGGATTCTATAGGATCTGCCACATACATTATTGGAACTTCAGTTCAGTATCCTGCCTCTGGTGGCCACCAACATCTGATGCTTCAGAGGAAGACAAGCCCCTCAAATGAAGGCAGCCAACTGTGCAATGCTGCATATGTAAGGACACCTTTCCTTCCTGACCCGAGATCAGTTTATGCCCTGAAGCATGAGATTTGATCACCCTTATCACAGCCTGCATAACACAGCTGGTCCCACATTCATTACCTCCCACATTCTTTGCATTTGCTCTGTAGCTCCTGGTCTGGATGACACTCGCCAGGTGCAGAACAAAAATACAGTAAATACAAAGACAATGAAAAGATTTGGTGGCTTAGTCAGCTTCAGGGCTTGGACACAGGGCGTGTGCTCATGCAAATACCATTACCTCTGTTTAACCATGCAAATACAAAACTATTGTAGGTAACATGGACAGTGTTATATTTCTAATGTGACTGCATGTTACAGATCTATGGCCGGTAAGAACCAGATGATAGGGGCCACTTACCTCCACTGTTTTCTTATACTGCAAATTCCTGTTTTTATGAATAGCCTCCATTACAAGCTCTATCTGTGAAGGGAACAACACCTGCATTAGTGCACCATCCACGCCAGAAGCGCTGCAAGGACGAAAGCTGCCAAGGAGCTTAGCAACTAAGACGGTCACCTTGATAGGTTCCCAGTTCAAGTCCTGTCTTGTGTGTGTGTGACATCATCTCAGCAATGCAAGACCAGCAAATCTCATAACGATATATTGCATCACATGACCGACACCCTTCATGACTAGGGCCCTACCAAATTCATGGCCAGGAAAAATGTGTCACAGACCATGAAATTTGGTCTCACCCCCGTGAAATCTGGTCTTTTGTGTGCTTTTACCCTATACTATAAGGATTTCACAAGGAGTTGCGGGGTGGGGGGGTCACAAGGTTATTTGAGGGGGGTCACGGTATTGCCACCCTTACTTCTGAGCTGCCTTCAGAGCTGGGCTCCTGGCCAGCAGCCGCCACTCTCCAGCTGCCCAGCTCTGAAGGCCGCACTGCCGCCAGCAGCAGCGGAGAAATAAGGGTAACTGTACTTCAACCCTCTCCCTCCCCCCGCACAACTCCTTTTTGGGTCAGGTTTCCTGCAATTACAGCAGCATGAAATTTCAGATTTAAACAGCTAAAAAAAATCAATACATTTATGATTTTTTTAAATCCTGTGACTATGAAATTGACCAACATGGACCGTGAATTTGGTAGGGCCCTATTCATGAGGTCTGGCAACATCGGTGAGTCCTCTCCTTCCTGTTTGGTATAAACTGTACAACTTTAACTACTGATGGACTATTGTTACCCTTCCTTTTACAGACAGAGGGCAAACTACAGCACAGAGGAGTTAAGTGGCTTGGCCCAAAGTCCAACAGGAAAGAGTCAGGAATAGAACCCAGCTTTCCTGGATCCTGTACATAATACAACCCAGTCAGAGCTTGATTTTCAGATGCAATCCAGCCCACAGTGAGAACAAAGGCAACTACTGGATACTGTGTGTGTCTGAAAACCGGGCCATAGACCACAGCTGCCCCATTAAAAGCAATTGTATGTTGTAAAGATCACTTGTCAAGATGTGAAGTTCAGGGAGCAGAAAGGCCCCGGGCGCAGCTTTCGATGGGAAGAAAATACAAAAATGATCTATTTTTCCGAAAAAGAAGCGTAGGAACCCAAAGGCAAACACAGGCAGCTTGAATGAGGAAGTTGTAAATCACTGCACTGATGCAGTCTGGTGCAGTTACAGCATTTAGGAATGAACTCTGGACTTCCCGGAGCAGCAGGGAGTTCATGGGCGAGGGAAAGGGCGGGACAGAGAAAGAAAACCCCTACCCAGCATCCGGCATATACACTTAGCACACTTGCAGACTTCCAGTAAAGCCTGGGCTCTTTCACAGCTCCCAGGCCCAGGCCCAAAGCTAAAGAGCTGGCCATTTGGGGTCCTCACAGATCCCACAGCGCCATTTGAAGTCAAGGTTTTAATCCTGGCATTCTGGCCAGATTCCAGCTCACAGAACCACGTGACGCCTTCCCAAATTCCCGACCTTTTTCTGATGAAGTTTTTGCTTTTCCCTGAAGTCCTCCATCTTCCTAGCCTCTTCCCGGAGGGTCTGGGCCAGCTGGATGTGACTCTGCCCTACACCATCTACCTCTGCAAGTGAAAAAAAACAAACAAAACCCACATGCTCACAAAGACCGTCTTGACTGGAGTCACTTGTGTTATCTAACTCATAACTCTAGTCAGCATTTCTAAAACACCTTCTCTGAGAGTTTCAACTAGAGCCAGGCGAAGTTCTTCAGGCAAATGGCAATCACCTGGGATGTGGGAGACAGTTTCAAATCCCGCCCTCTGCCTGATGTGGAGAAGAGATTTTAATTTAGCTCTCCCACATTGTAGGCGAGTGCCCCAACTACTGGGTATGGGAGAGCCTAGTGTGGGGGTTTCTCAGTCTCCTCTGTTGAAACTGTAACTGTGTATAAAATACATGAATAGTCACTCAGCCAGAGAAAGAGAGAGAGAGAGAAAGTGAGACTAACTCAACAGCTGGTGGTTAGAGCACTTACCTGTGAGACCCAAGTTTGTATCCCTGTTCCAACCTGGCCAACGGGCAAGTTGTTTGGTGAATCTAACCCTTTGTTTCCTGTGCTTTTATGTGGACAGGGTGCCCGGAAATGAACCAGTTCATTCTGGGTTGAACAAAACATTTAGTTCAACCCACAGTGACATTTTTGTGGACTTTTTCGATTTGCTGACTTTTGGGGAGGAAATTTTCAGATTCGGTCTGAATTTTTTTTGTTTTTTTGGAACTGCCAACCGACTGAAAAATCAGTTATTTGCCCAGCTCTAGCTCCATCATGCTTCATAGGCATCAAACCCTAAAAACACCCCTGTGAGGTAGGTCAGCCTATTACGCCCACTGTACAGATAGATAAACGGAGGCACAGGGACAGGTGAAGGACTAGATTTAGATAACAGCAACAGTTAGCTTGAGTTACACCTTTCAAGTTAGCCTAGCTCAAGCAAGAGCACCCACACACTGCGAAACAACACTCGAGATCTGATTAACAGTGCAGAGCGATTGCATTAGCAGAGTGATAAGCTGTACTAAAAATTGAGCTGTAGCCAGTAGCTGTGTCCCCACTACATTACTCAAGCTTCACCCCACGCCCTCTCACAGGCCAGCTAAATGGCACCACCTAACTCAGCTAGAGATTTCTGTCTATGAACAGGAGTCCAGTTAGGGGCAACACTTGAGTTATACCTCAAGGTGCAGTGAACACAAGCCCTTTAGTGCTGTGTCCATGGATTTGGAGGGCCCAATTTGAAACACCTAGCACCTGATTCTCACAAGCTTTGAGCACCCACATCTCCCATTGATGGACCCTGAATCAGAAAAGAAAAGACTCAAGATTGGTTTCATTTTCCTATGAACCCCCTTGACTGGGTACTGGCCTTGCCTGGGGTTAGAGGCCACCTGGTTTACAGATGAAAGTTTTGTTTCATCCCACAAGGCACTATATAGAACTACACCCAGAACTCAGACAATTGACAGCTTCTGTTCAAGACTTCCAGGCCTGGAAGAGTAGGGGACGCAACGGGTCAGGATCCAGGTGGGCTGGCAGAGTTTTGTGGGAAGTCAGGGGAAGACTGATACTCAAGCTGCGCCTCATAAGCCGCCAGTGGCTCTTTAATGTGTCTCCTGCGGCTCTTTGCAACATATGATATTAAATCACTGTGTGATTTAATTATTAACCAATCAGGATGCTTTTACTATGTCATTAAACCAATTAATTTATTAACTTGCACTAAGTTATCAACTTATTTGCTGTGAGAATAAATATCTCTATATAAACTAAATATTTCCCTGTTGTACTGTTTAAATATGAATAGTACAAGAGTAAATGAAACAATGAATTCACACGACTGTGGCTCTTTTGGGCAATATTGATCACTAATTTGGCTCCTGGTCCACTGAGGTCTGCGTATCCCTGCTTTAGACTGAATAAAACAACACAGGGTGTACCACAAAGGCTGGGTTTTAACTGACATAATTTGATTTAAATGTTTTCAAGTGAATTGCTGCCCCGCTCGATTTTGCGCCCTGTGCAGTTCAAAAAACAGGAAAATGTTGAAAGGCCAGCACTTGCCATGACCGCAGCACTAGCCTCTACCAAGACATTACAATGAGCTGGCTCGGGCTTGTGTGCACCACTGTCCTCTATTGGATGTAATCGGAATTGTGCATCTGTGTGTCATCGGTAGGGCCCTACCAAATTCACAGCCGTGAAAAACACGTCATAGACCGTGAAATCAGACCTTCCCCATGAAATCTAGCTATTGGAGGGGCGGAGGAGAGACAGGCCTGGGGGCGCCCCAGCCAGGGTCTCCTACTGTTCAACAGGGTCCAGCTACTAGTCCACCGGCCTGGAGAGGAATGGGACTTTCTCTTCCCCTGCATGGCCGCTCTCGGGGGGAGATCAGACCTACCTCTGGGTACCTCCCCTGGCTGCAGAAAGCTCTGTGGCTGTACCTTCCGAGCCCAGCTCTGAAGGCAGCACAGAAGTGAGGGTGGCAATCCTGTGACCCCCCCTCCCCCATAAGCTTTGTGACCACCACCCACCATAACCTCTTTCTCAGTCAGGAACCCCACCTTTACAACACCACGAAATTTCAGATGTATACATCTGAAAATGTGAAACTGACCAATTTTAAAACCTTCCAGCTGTGAAATTGACCAAAATGGACCCTGAATTTGGTAGGGTCCTAGTCTCTATGCAGGAGAGCTCGTCAGGAAAAGGCTGACAAAACATTTTTTTCCATCAGAATTTGAAGATTTAGCTAAATGTTTCACAGACACAGAACGATTTCAACAAAGTTACAACAGAAACCTGCCTGATTTCCTGCCAGCTTCCCCATCTGGCTCCTCTGCAGCCCAGCTGGTAGACTCAGCCTCCAAGGTTGGCAGCCCGCCAGGCAGACTGCCGGGAAGCTGGGGCTCCATTCCGTTTGGCAGCAAATTTCAAAATTTCTCTTTTGGTTTCATTCGGATCCAGAAGCAAGTTTCGAAATATCAAAAATCTCCCACAAAACGGAATTGCCTTTCCCTGCCCTGCTCTAACGGACACCAGCTTGCTTGTAGTTCTAGCCCTACAGATGCCATGACACGCCGAGTGACTGCGGCGTGCAGAATAGTGACAAGTGTGCCGTTCCTAGAGCACCACAGATTTCCGGCAATGTTATTGTGTTGTCACATTCTTCTCAGCCTCTCTCACTTCCAACAATGTCGTGCGTGGGTGTTGAAATCCCAGCACTGCTATTCTTGCGCAATCAGCTTCCTCCCTTTCAGATTATCTGCCAGGAAAGAAACAGTTATCACGAAAATAACTGCACTGTCCACCTAGTGCCAGCCTGTTTTAAAATGCACATTAGGACCCCAAGGCTGCATTAGTGGCTCTATCAAGCCAGTTACTTCTCATTAACCTCAACTGTTTTTAAGAGACAAAGAAAGAGACTTCCAAGCTCTCCAGTAGTGGTCAGCATGTACTTAGAACAGAGCAGCATGAAGTACACCAAAAACCTTCCTGTAGGACCCAATCACTTTACTGTTCCATTCTCCACGCTGTCATTCCATTTTTCCCACTGGTGTAACATAACTGAAGTTGATGGAGTTACCCCTGATTTTATACGATTATAAGTGGAAGGCCAAACAGGCCCATTGGACACACACACAAGGAAAATAACTTAAAAGTATACAGCATGAGAGCTGGCCAAAACTCGGGGTTTTTAGCTCACAAAAAATTTTGGTATTTGGGAAGTTGGTTTCTCTCTGATTTGAAATTTACTGATATATTTTGTTAACTGACAAACCACAAAAACCTGCATCTGGCAAACACTGAAATGTGGCCTTTTGGATACAAAACAGGTGAAATGGACATTTCTGCTATTCAGGGAGGGCAGCCCAGGGAGCCAGCTGGCCCAGGAGTCTGGAAGCCCAGGGCTCCCCAGCCCGGGCCATCTGCCCCAGAGCCACAGACACCGGAAGTTCGTTCCAGGAATTGCAGACTCCCAGGTCTGTAGCAGGAAGCCTAGAAGCCCTGATGAGCCCCACCTAGAGCCATGGTTCTCAGGGCTTCCAGGCTCCTCGCTGTGGAGCTGGGAGCCACACGGCTGCTAGAGCCACAGCACCAGGGGTTTTCAGATTCCTGGCTCCAAGCAGGGAGGCTGGAAGGCCTGACATGGTGGGGCTGCCCCAGAGCAGCAGCTGGAGCTCAGGCTCTTGAGTTCTTATCTCCCCACTCCACAGCGGGGACCCTGGAGTCCCTGGCTCCAGCCAGCGCTCACAAGGCTGCCTGAGTCTCTGTCGCATAGCGCGGAGCCAAGTAGGCCCCAAGCAGGCTGCGTGGTGGGACTGTCCTAGAGCTGTGGGCCCTGGAACAAGGGCTTCCCAGGAGCCCACCAGGAAAGCAGGCAGGTTTCCAGTAGAAAGCTGCCTGTGTCCCTATGAAAGTTTCATGTAACCTGTAATAGGATTGGTTAAACACTGCAGTCTGCTGATTTGTCATTTTCCAACTAAACTTTGGTTTCCTCAGAAAATTTCCTATCAGCACCTCGCTGTAGTCTAACTAGTCTCTTTGATATGCGAAAGAAATGTTTCCTATCAGAGCATGCAGTGTTGTTGTGTCCTGGGACCAACAGGGCTAGAAGAGAGACAAGGTGGGTGAGGTAATATCTTTTACTGGGCCAGCGTCTGCTGGTGAGAGAGACAAGCTCTGGGGCTTACACAGAGCTCTTCTTCTCATATCAGATCAGTTTTTTCTCTAGTGTTAAAAATTAACCACCACAGTAAGCAGGTTCTCTCTTTCCACCACCACACTAAGCAATACAATGAGCTGTTACATACAGGATGATACGGGTTAGCTGCAGGCTGGAGAAAGACATAAAATATTTGGGCCACAATGGAACAACCAAGCACATCCACAAATGTAAATACTCCAAACCAGGACGAGACATGAAGCTGAACAGAAGGTGAAAGTGGAGACACTTTGAACATAGCACCAATATCTCTCCTCCAAATCCCTTCTTAGAATCCCAGCATTCCCATCAAAGACATTAGACAAATCAAAAGTACAAACAGGGCGTGTGCTAAACCACACTGCCAAGGCAGTTTGCTTTCTGTCACATCCCTGCTCTTCCCCCCACTACTTCATCTGATCTATTTAGATGGTTAGCTTCTCAGGGATCCAGTAAGTATAATGCAAATTACATTTTGCAGGGATGCCCTGTGACTAACAATGCTTCCAACTGACACGGGTTTTAGGCAAGTCACTTCTTCTCTCTTTGCAACAGCTCCCCAGTCTGTGAACCAAAGATTACACTGCCCTCTCTGATCTGCCCACAGCGTATCTTTGTAAGGCTTCATTGGTTAAGGTTTGTAAAATGCTCTGAAGGGAAAGGTGCTGTGCGTTCTATAATGGCACTATGCTCCTAGAAAGTATGGAGTGAAAGTAACTGCTAAGGAGACGAAAACAAATGAATGTAAAATGGGAATAGCTCACTGTACCCCCAGCTAATCTGATTTTACAGTCTATTTCTGAGACAAACGACTGTACAGGTTCACAGACTTTTGTATATGCTTTTTCAAACTGTCATCCACAGTCGCCAATGCAGCCGGATTTCTTGACAAATACAAAGAATGATGTTAAGCAGTTACTTACGTTGCTTAAAAACTTCAAGAGCTCTCTTCAGCGTGCTGAAAAACACAGGCACAGAGTTACAGGGTAGGTAAGAGAATTGCCAGATTCCCCACGTTTCAGAGAAGCAGCCGTGTTAGTCTGTATTCGCAAAAAGAAAAGGAGGACTTGTGGCACCTTAGAGACTAAGTGCCATAAGTACTCCTTTTCTTTTTGCAGATTCCCCATGGCATGTAATGACGGCTTAATGACAGCTTCACTGACAGGGGCAAGATTCCCCCTTCGCTCTAACCTGGCAGGAGTTGATCCTTTTCGCATGCTGCTCACATCCACTCCGACAATCTTTTGAGATCATGTACACTAATGGGGGGGGGGCTGTGGGGGTGTGTGTGAGCTCTTGAAGTCAGGCTCAAATGGAGATTTGGGCTTTTCACCGTTCTGTCATTCAAGGACAAGATTTCAGTCCCTTTGCAGCAGCCACACAGATGGTGGGGACAGGAGACACTACATACGCCAACCAACTGGGCAGTCCAGGATGACATTCCTGTGACACCCGGGGCAGCTTTAACCCACACTTATATTATCATCAGCATTCACATTTGTTGGTATTATAGTAGGACCTAGATCAGGTCCCACTGGTTTAGGCACCGTACATAAACACAGCCGCTTTCTATGTTTAGGGCAGGGACTGTCTAAACAGACAAGACAGGCAAAGAAAGAGATATGATCCCCATTTTACAGATGGGGAGCTGAGGTGCTCTGACAGACATTACAAACTCAAAAGAACATAAAACTAGCTTGTTTGCTCTCATTCCCCATCCTTTTCTGTGACTGTAGCAAGGGTAGGCTGTAGTCTAGCTAGCACAGGTCACAGTAGCAATGTAGACAGGGTGGCACAGATGTCAGCGTGGGCTAGCCACCCATCGGGGACCTTGAGTAAGCATTTGGGTTGCTGGCCCACACTGAAGCCCATGCAAGCAAGTCTACACACTGCCCCGGAGTCCACTTACCCAGCCCACGGCACCAAGCCTCCCAGCCCAGGTCTGCAGACTTGGGCTTGCACTATGGTCCTACCCATAGCTGGCAGAGGTTGTGGCTCAGGCTGGAGCTCAGGCTCAGAAGCCTAAGGTGTTGGGGGGCAGAGGGGAGACTTCCGAGTGTGAGTTCACTCAAGCCACGACTTCAGAGTGCAGCTATTTTTACAGCACTCGTGTAAGCCCAAGTGTGCAGACCGGGGCTGGGAGGCTCACTGCCGTGGGCTGTGGAGACATACCCACTTTTACCCGGCTAGCACAGATATGCCTAGCTGGGATATAACTACACCTTCATTTGCAGTGTAGTCCTAGGGTATCCGAACAGGAAAGCTGTTGCAGAAAAGGAAGTGTAATTAACATAAAGAAACCTGGTCATATGTTCTCTTGCGTTTGCAGTGTCTTTCAGAGCATAGTAGGTTCAACCTAGACATCCCCTTCACCACCCCTAACATACACATGTTGAAATGTGTCCCAAGAAATTGGAATCTTGTGGATAGTGAATTTCAATGATGAAGTGTACAGGAGATCTTATTTCCATTCTATACAAAGCCCAGACACAGGAAGATGCAAGCAAATAGAGAATACAGCCTTTCACATACGTCCACACACCGCAGCTTCGGGAAGTGAAGGGACTTGCCCAAGGCCACCCATGAAGTCAGGAAGAGAACCCAGCTCTCACGGCTCCCAGTCCTCTACTCTGACCACTAGACCACAACAGCTAATCTTGACTTCCTGTAAGTAGTGTTAATTTCTGAAAACAGGAAGTTGGTTAATGGGAGGTTAAAGTCAGCAGATTCCAATTACTGGCATGTCTCTCATTCACAAGAATCTGATTTTAGTCAGCCTTTTTCCAGACATATCAATACTAATTTCAGCCTCCTTCTAACTTGCACTCCCTTTTTTGGATTTGACATCACAGCCCCCTCCATCAGCATTCCAAGTCAAGGTAGCTTTTGTTATGAACACAAATAGGAATGAGAACATACACAAGGATCTAAACTTACTTCAATTCTGTCTGCCCACAGGGCTTCTTCTTTGTCAGGTTAATAAGCTCTTTGCCATATTTTTCTTCGATAGTTGCCCTGTTGTGGAAAGAGAGGAGGTTAGGGGAAACTCACATGCAATGTAGAGTCTGCAAGGTGCTTGCTAGAAGGGTAAAGGCTAGAAGGAGATGGTGCTAGAATGAAATCTAGGTCCCAAACCAACTACACACAACCTGCACTGCCTCGTACTGCCATACTGTGTCTTGCAGAGTCCTGACTGGTCTAAGGGGCCATGAAAGACTGCTAACTATTCTACCAGGTCTGAACCACCAGAAGACTAATAGCTGAGGTTTGGCCAAAAATGGAAATGAAGTATTGTGAATTTCACCCTTCTGCCTCCGAGGTTTCCGGCCACGGACAAGCTGCTACAGACAGGCTGCACGTGGTGATTCCAAAAGAGCAGCAGTTAAGATTATATTGTCGCTGTTTACTCAACGGACACCCCCCCCAATGCATTTTTCAGTGAAAAAAAAATCTGTTAAAACAAAACAAAAGTCACCCAATACTCCTGGACGAGGCTTCCAAGGGAGGTGGTAGAAGCCCCGTCACTGGAAGATTTTAAGAACAGGCTGGAAAAACACCTGTCGGGATGGTGTAATGATACTTGGTCCTGCCTCCGTGCAGGTGGCTGAACTAGATGACCTTTCAAGTTTCCTTCCAGACCTACTTTTCTATGATTCTATGATTCCCAGTGGATGCGTGTCCCCATCACTAAAAGGCACCAGTTGGCAATTTCGCTGGCAGTCTCAGACTGGACCATGGAGGCTGAACTAATTCTTATTCCATAGATGTGGTCCCTCCAAGTCAGGTTTGAAACCTATTAGTGGGTTGAGAAAGCTCGTCTTGCCGCTCGACTGTACCTGGGCATAACTAGAGGAGATTGGCCTCCTGGGCTGCCCATACAGCACCTTTTGCGCCAAAAGAGTTAAAAAATTAAAAAATAATCTCTTCTAGTATTAAATGGCTACAGAAGAAGATCAACATGCCTATTTAAGCCTCACACCTCAGGGAAGGCGGTGTTAGACCCATCTTCTAGATCGGAGTGGGCAAACTTTTTGGCCCGAGGGCCACATCGGGGTGCGAAACTTTATGGAGGGCCGGGTGGAGAAGGCTGTGCCTCCCCCAACAGCTTGGCCCCCGCCCCCCCTATCCGTCCCCTCCCACTTCATGCCCCCTGACTGCCCCCCTACCCATCCAAAACCCCCCCCTGCTCCTTGTCCCCTGACTGCCCCCTCCTGGGACCCCCATCCCTAACCACTCCCCGGGACCCCACCCCTCTCCAACCCCCTTTTTCCCCACTCCCTGCCCCCCCAAACCTCTGCCCTATCCAACCACGCCCTGTTCCCCGATTGCCCCCCAGGACACTCCGGCCCCCTTACCATGCTGCTCAGAGCAGCATGCTTGGGAGCCACGCCGCCCAGCCAGAGCCAGACACGCTGCCGCGCTGCCCTGCATAAGCGCGCAGCCCCGCCTCCCAGAGCGCTGCCCGCGCTGTGGCATGGCTGCGGGGGAGGGGCCAGGGGCTAACCTCCCCGGCGGGGAGCTCAGGGGCTGGGCAGGACGGTCCCGCAGGCCAGATGTGGCCCGCGGGTTGTAGTTTGCCCACCTCTGTTCTAGATGATGAAACTGAGACAAGAAAGAGTTACGTGATTTACCCAAGGTCACACCACAAGTAAGCATCAGGAACAGAAACATAAAGACCTAATTTAGTCCCTTGCTTTAAGCACTAGATCATGTTGCTTCTCCTGCACATTTGAGCGCAATGACACAGAGATGCATGATGCCAAGAAGTGCTTGCTGAATAGCCTGTAAAAAAAATACACATGTCCACAAAGTGCATGTATAGTTTTCAGTACAACCTTAAGTGCTTCTAATTCAGCAAACATAAGACCACTGTCCCCACTCTAGTGAGTAAAGGGTGCTCCAGGCAGAGGTACCAACACCCACCCCCAAAGAATTAAAGGAAAAAATAAAAAAAACTCTACTGGCACTATTCCCATTTATTTTATTTTTAACTGAAATGGTCAAACACAAAACACAAGACTTGGCCCGAAAAATTCCCAACTGCCAATTTGAAAGTCATGAGAGTCCCTGGAAAATAGAAAGCGACCACTCCGAAGCCATCTGGGAGTCACGCACCTCCAGTTTATGGGCACACGTGCCAGGCTTCAGAGATTCCATCATGTAAGTCAACAAAACAATAATGGCCAGAAATCCAGATTACACGTTCAAAGTACTCTTGAGCTGCTGGCGTAAGAAACACTTTTAGTTTGTTGGGTGGATCGACGTTGAAATTCTTCACAAAGCCACAGGGCAAGACTATAGTGAAAATAGTTTCAAGTAGATTTTTTTGCCCCCTCTCCCTTCCAATGTTTTCCATAAAATGCCAGCTGCCTAACTGGCCTAACCTGAGAGGAAGGATAGTCTAGTGGTTACGGCATCATTCCAAGACCTGGGTTCAATTCCTCGCTCCACCACATGCTTCCTGTGGGACCCTGAGAAGTCGCCTCCGTTCCCCAGGGGGAACATATAAAATAGAGATAACAGCCCCTCCTCGCTTTACAAGAATGTTGGGGGGCTACACACATTGAAAAGTCATAAGGTGTGACCAAGGCCATAAGATGTGACCATCTAGTCTGACCTCCTGTGTAACACAGGCTCTAGAACTGCCGGAATACTTCCTAGAGCAGATTTCAGGAAAAAACAGCCAACAATCACTACAGTATCTGAGCACCTCACAATGGGGGCCACATAAGAACCATAGATTGAACTCCCTATGCCCAGAGAAACCTCCCATTGACTTCAATAGGAGTTATGGGCACGTAATGGCTGCAGAATCGAACACAAGGCTCGGGAACTGACATTAAATTTCATTGGCACAGGATTTCAAGCACAACACACACATAAGGTGACCAGATAGCAAGTGTGAAAAATCAGGAAAGGCAGGGCGGGGGGTAATAGGCACCTATATAAGACAAAGCCCCGAATATCGGGACTGACCCTATAAATTCGGGACATCTGGTCACCCTTCACACACAGGACCAGCCTCAAACCAGAGAAAGCATAAAAATGCATGTTCCATATAGTTCAACATGGAAGATTTTTACATTATCTGTGGACGGTGAAAGACAGAAAAACCAGATGTGGAACAGCAGATCAAAATATTACTAACCCATTTCCTAGTCATGACTAACTAGTGTGATGGGGCAAGGTCAGATGGCTATAGAAAAGTAGTGGGAGATAGATATATTAGCTCCAGTCTAAACAAATCCCTGGTACCAGAATAAGTTAAATGGCAGCTGTTCCAGGTCAATTAAGACACCTGGGGCCAATTAAGAACTTTCCAGAAGGCAGGGAGAACTCTAGGTTGATTGGGACACCTGAAGCCAATCAGGGACTGGCTGAAACGAGTTAAAAGCCTCCCAGTTAGTCAGGTGGGTGTGGATGTCAGGAGCTGTGGGAGGAAGTTGTGCTGTTGGAGAGACTGAGTAGTACACACCAGATCAGGCACAAGGAAGGAGGCCCTGAGGTAAGGGTGAAGTGGAGCCTGAGGAAGTGGGGGCTGCTGTGGGGAAGTAGCCCAGAGAATTGTATGTGTCATGTTTCTAAAAGGTCAGCTAACATAGCTGATACTATTAGGGCCCCTGGGCTGGAGCCGAGGATGGGCCTGGGCTCCCCCCTTTGCGCCCCCCCCCCCGATTAATCACTGAGACTGGGAGACAACAGAGACTGCAAGGGAGGATAGCTTCTCCTCACCTCCCTCGCTGGCTTATGATGAAAATGGCTCAGTAGACTGTGACCCTTGTCCCTAGAGAGAGAAGGGTTATGTGGAGGATCACAGTGAGAACTCTGAGGCTAGCGAAATCTGCCAGGAAACGTGGGACATATGGAGACAAGGACAGAGCTTTGTCACACTAGGTGGTTAGAGAAAGCTCTGTACCTTTCCTTCAGAAAGTCTTCAAATTCCTTGCAGTTCTTCCTGCCATCATTCAGATGTTGAATGATGCTGTCGTAGCCAACTGTGCTTGTTAAATCGGTACTCTGCAAGCACAAATAAAAAACATGTCACATGGGCATCAAGACAGATCATTCTCAATATTCCCCACCTCCACTTGGAGTTTAAGATGCTCACAGTTTAGCCATTTCTAATACTTGGAAAGGAAACTAACATTTTTTCTCCTGTATCTGAAGATTATATAAAATGAGATCCCTTTATTCTGGACTGGACGAGGTCTCAGTTTGAGAGCCTAGGACAATGGATCTATGCTGACTTTCAGGAAAACATAACAGCCAGGCTTAAATACTACAAAGATCTAGTGCAGAGTTTTGCACAATGGGGCCCTGATCTTGACTGAGATTTGTAGGCGCTCCTGCAGTATAAATAATCGAAACAGTCTCAACTCACAATGGTTATCTAAGGTAATTATAGGGCCACCATCACATTCCTATCTCAGTGCCTCATGCTCTTTACCAGGGTCTTGTGAGGGCATATACATTAAAGGAGAGTAGTGCTATTATACCACTTTTTACATATAGGAACCTGAGGCTCAAGCAGACTAAGGAATTTGCCCAAGGTCACACAAAAAGTTAGTGGCAGAGCAGGCATTGAACCAGACTTTCCCATGGCCCAGGTTAGTGATCTAAGCACCAAACTGTCTTTCCTCTATATAAGAAGCCTGAAGCAGATGCCGCAAGCCACATCTGAATGGAAGATGTCCCAAGCTGAAGAGGATAGCTCTGTGTTGTGTGCGTGAGAGTTTAAGCTGGTTGAGAAGAGACAAACATATGGGCAGACGGTATAGCGACACAAGTGGTAGGAAAAGGAAGCAGTGGTAGGGATGGGTATGCAGCTTGCAGAAAAGAACTAGAAGCCACAATCTGACAGCTAACAGGAAGCCTAAAGAGGAATAACGTCAGGACTAAGATTCAGGAAATGGTTCAAACCCAAGATAGTCATTGGAGGGGAGGGGGATTTCTAGAGGATTTGTACACAAGTACATAGGAGAAGTTGCAGCAGCACAGCCTGCACACAGCAAGGATTTCAGCACTGCAGACTTAACCGCTGGATGTCAAGGAAGTGAAAGTCGGTGATGGCTAGAGAGCAAGGAATCCCATGTAGATCTGGTGAACCCCAGGGCTGAAACAGCAGGAGGCCCATGAGATTCTGTATGAGTTTAAAGTGGCCTGCAACCAGAGGCAGATCCCCAGCTGTCCTGCTCTGTGCCATCTACAGGCACTCCTTGGAATGCAAATATCCCCTAACTGTGCCAGGCAACTGTAAGCGGACACAGCGAGCCTCGTCATGCAGAGGGAGAGCCTTCGCAAGAGCGGTATTTCAACATGGTCCTGGCTACATGAGTGCTAAGACTGCACAGTGCCTATGGCCAGCACCAGTGGGGACAAAGCAGGTTTATAAGCCTGTGGCTGCCCACCCCAGATGGCATGGCAGCAGTAACTCTGCCTCTGTTTCCCTCCGAGTCTTTCGCTGTTCCACCCTGTCTCCAACACCTTACCCTCCAGCTAGATCATGTAACAGTTCTATCCCTCCCCAGCTACCCACAGGCTAAAAGAATCACAAAGAACCATAAGTTTTTCCCTTCACTGAGGGAGGCTCCGTTAGGCAGCAGCCTTCCCCAGTTCCTGGCCCCAGCCAGCCATCTCTCCCACAGTCAGAGTACAAGCTCTGCTCCCTATCCCCACCAGACAGCAACTGGACTGGGCTCTCCCTTTTTGGCTCCTCTCTCAAAGCTTGACACCTTGAAGGTGGTGTAGGGTGGGACTGCCTGGGCCCCGAGCAGCCCATTAACCCTTTCCTGACTCGTCTGGGGTTTGCACACCCCATCACAAAGCCATTTTACAAAACCATGCTTTTATAAGACCCTATAGATAGGTTTCTACCCAGTCGATTCTGGCCAGTAAAATAGCGTTTGTATCCAGCTAGCAAAAACCATGCAAAAGCAGATGGAGCCCAGATTAAGTAAGATCTGCCATACTGGGTCAGATCAATGGTTCATGTAACCCAGTATCCTGTCTTCTGACAGCAGTCAGTATCAGACTTCAGGGGGAGTGTACAGATCAGGGCAACTAGAGTGATCCACCCATCTTCCCCTCCTGGCTTGTGGGTATCAGAGGTTTAAGGTCACCTCAAGCATGGGGTTGTCTCTCTGACCATCTTAATTAATAACCATTGATGGACTTAACCTCCAGGAACTTACCTCATTCTTTTTAGAACCCAGTTATACTTTTGGCCATCACAACATCCCCTGGCGATGAGTTCCACAGGTTAGCGGAGCATTGTGTGAAGAACTGCCTTATTTTGTATTAAATCTGCTGCCTGCTAATTTAATTGGGTGACCCCTGGTTTTTGTATCCTGGCAAAGGGTAAACAACACGGCCCTATTCACTTTCTCCCCACCAGGCGTGATGTTCTAGCCCTCCCTCAGATCCCTTCTCAGTCATCTCTTTTCCCCAGCCTTTTTAGTCTCTCCCTGTATGGAATCATAGAATCATAGAATCATAGAATATAACGGTTGGAAGGGACCCCAGAAGGTCATCTAGTCCAACCCCCTGCTCGAAGCAGGACCAAATCCCAGTTAAATCATCCCAGCCAGGGCTTTGTCAAGCCTGACCTTAAAAACCTCTAAGGAAGGAGATTCTACCACCTCCCTAGGTAACGCATTCCAGTGTTTCACCACCCTCTTAGTGAAAAAGTTTTTCCTAATATCCAATCTAAACCTCCCCCACTGCAACTTGAGACCATTACTCCTCGTTCTGTCATCTGCTACCATTGAGAACAGTCTAGAGCCATCCTCTTTGGAACCCCCTTTCAGGTAGTTGAAAGCAGCTATCAAATCCCCCCTCATTCTTCTCTTCTGCAGGCTAAACAATCCCAGCTCCCTCAGCCTCTCCTCATAACTCATGTGTTCCAGACCCCTAATCATTTTTGTTGCCCTTCGCTGGACTCTCTCCAATTTATCCACATCCTTCTTGAAGTGTGGGGCCCAAAACTGGACACAGTACTCCAGATGAGGCCTCACCAATGTCGAATAGAGGGGAACGATCACGTCCCTCGATCTGCTCGCTATGCCCCTACTTATACATCCCAAAATGCCATTGGCCTTCTTGGCAACAAGGGCACACTGCTGACTCATATCCAGCTTCTCGTCCACTGTCACCCCTAGGTCCTTTTCCGCAGAACTGCTGCCTAGCCATTCGGTCCCTAGTCTGTAGCTGTGCATTGGGTTCTTCCGAAGCTGCTCCATCCCCTTGGTCACCTTTGTTACCCGTCTCTGAACCTTTCCCAGTTCCAATAGGTATTAGACGGGGTGGGGGGCAGCACTCAGGGGTCCCAGGCAACTCTCTGAAAGTTCCGATCCCAGAAATCTCCCTCCCAGGTGTATATTTACAGGGGACGTACAAGAGAAGGGGCAGGGAAGAGGAACAAAGGGAGCAAGGCTCCTTCTGACCTCACCTGGAGATCCCAGGCCCGGTACTAGGCAGGCCTCAGCAAAGGACAGGGGACGCTTTAGATCAACATCGCCATCAGCATGCACCAGCAGAGTGGGTCCAGCATGGAGGAGCCCTCACTGCAGCCTGGTCTAGCACCTACTCAGGCCTAGTCTTCCCCACAGAGCAATTCTGGCTATTCCTCTACAGACTCCTGTGTCTGCTTGGCTTCTCCTCACTCCACCCTACCCCCCAACACAGCCAGTGGCTTAAAAAATATTGTCTTACTGTTACTCCCCCGTCGGTCTGTCTTTATCTGTTGCCTTGTGCCTTACACTTAGATTGTAAGCCCCTTGGGAGCAGAGACGGTCTTCTTGTTCCGGTCTGTGACTAGGGCTTCCAGGCATTATGGTAATACAAACCAATAATACATACGTACACCCGACCCACACTGTTTAATACAGCTGCCCCTTTGTACAAACCTAATGGAGGTGAAATGGTCTCCACATGCTCTGGAGCCAATTTTCAGTCAGATACATCCTCTGCCAGCCACCCACTCTCCGGTTCGGGAAAACGGTTCTCCCTCCAGCACTCTACCCCACTGCCAAAGCCAGCACATCACTGTGCATCAAGCACACCAGTCAGCCAGTACTCTCATGGTTCAGAATCTTAGACGTTAGAGATGGCAACACCCCACTAGATTATCCAACCCATCTCCCTGCCGCTGCAGATTTGTTCTCTCCAGCATATTCTCTTGTGTTTTGTCCAGTCATTAGATGTCCCAAGAGACAGAGTTACCTCCACTACCTTTTGGAGACACCATTTCACACCCTAAAAGATCATACTCTCTGAAGCCGTGGGAGTCAGCCTTAGAGCTGTTTGGGAATTTTCCAATGAAAACAGATTTTTGTTGGAAAACTTTGATTTGTGAAGAGAGATTTCTAAGGTACAGAGGAAAAGAGATCTACTCCAGGTTGTCCTATTCACCAAGCTGTTGGCTACTCACCTGGGGTATGACAGACCTGGGCTCAGGTGTTTGCTCCAGACCAGGCAGAACAGGAATTTAAAGCCAGGCTTCCCACCTCCCAAGTGAGTAGGCACCAAGCTACTGGGCTGTTCTGGATTTATGCTTTGTGTCTCTACCTTGAAAAACTTTAAAAGGTCTATTTTATCCTAATGTGGAATGGGGGGAGGGGAGATATTTCCCACCCAGTTCTATTCAGCCTACATTTCATCTCATTACACTTATTTAGGAAATGACACATGGGGATATAAACCAATTCCTCTCCATACCAATAGTGATTATGTAGATGCCATTCAAATGGCCTCAGTGCAGTTACTGTCTCTCTACCACAGAAGGGAGGTGAGCAACCATCTACAAAGACCAGCACAAATATTGCACTACAAGTTAGCTGGCAAGAAACATTCATGTTGTATGCAACTAAGACTTCCTTTCCCCCAGGCTCTAAGTCACTTCTAGAGCTGGTCAGGAATTTGCCATTGGTCCAACAAAAAATGCTCTTTTCACAAATTTTTTGATTTTTCCATCAAGAAGATCAAAATGATGGCCTCCCTGGAAAGCTCTTGTCAATTTC